ATCAGTGACGATACCCAGCCCTAATTTCTTTGTATGTAGACGGCAACAGATTTTTTTCACAAACAGACTGCATATAACTGCCAATTCACTCACATGTCCTATTCCCATTTTCATGCTTGAACGCATGACATTTCTTTGAGGTTGGCAACTGCACGTGAGTAGTTACAGACACGGGCCCTTTGAAGAAAATCCAATTATATAAAACAGTGGTTGTAACAGTTCACTTGGGTTATACAATTTGCCCAAATTTCCTAAACTGTAAATTTATTAGCAGGATAATATCTAGTAATTTTGTGTTAATTATAAGAAAGAAAGGCTCAGCTGTTGCACATAAAATTGATTCATTCTAATTAGCTATTAGCGTAGACTAAAGAGTTGTTTGACAGTGCGCATGTAATGGAAATTTGTTGTGTACTATAAATAAGATATAGTGCAATTGTGGCTTGTGTGCTTCTTGTGCAAGGATGAGTGTGTGCTTGTTAAATGGGAACACACAGGAACCTTTGGCTCTTTCAGACTGAATCAGCACTGAACTGTGGAGAAGAACACAATGCACCCGTTGCTAACAGGCAGTATCTTAAAAAAGCAGGGATTAGCAGGCCGGGGATTAGCATGCAGTGAGTGTGCAGGTGTTCACTGGCATGCAGGGGAGTTCAATCGCATGCTGAGATAGCTGTGTTTTAGAGTTTCACCTTTCAACTGTAATATAGGTGCAAATTTAATTTTAGGAATGGTGGACAGGTAGAATTTGTTTTCAGAGCTTGACATTCATGGATGGGCAAGTCTGAAAGAAAAATGTGAGGGAAGTTTGCTTGGGCTTACAGAAGGTCCAACTGAACCTACGGTCAGATGTTTTGCATGTACTGCTGATGTTTTTATTATTATGAGAAGAAAAATCAGTAGTGCTCCTTTTCTTCTCGGCTCATTGCAGCGGCATGTGAGTATTACACATCATTAGTTTTAGTTGCAGTCCTCTTTAATGTACTGCACCTGAGCTACTAATTAACCATCAAGCCTGGAAAGCAACATCAGCAGTGCATTTTTCCTGGAGTTTGGTTGTGTGTTCATGTTTGTCATTGAAATCATAAGTAGATTTAAGCAGGAGAAAACACTAACGAGACAGTCTGTGGCTCTTGTGCTGCAAGCTGCATGCTCAGTGTGTCATCTGCTCTGCCTGCAATGCTACACTTACTGCTTTATTGCCAAATTTGATTAGTTACATCCAGATCTTGTGGAGTAACAGTATTCCAAGACTGAATGCAAATCACCAGGGGACGTGTCAGGTCAAGGACTCTGACTCTCTTCATTAAAGATGACAGACTAATAAGAGAAAAAGGGACATTTCTTTTCTCAGGAATGCAGACTGTTACTGATCACAGTTACCTGACAGAGGGCTCTGGGTGAGGGGTGCGTGTCGTCGTAGTGCCCGTTTGAACTGCGCCACGCCCAGTATGACATTTCTTAGCTTCATCCACAGGAAGTATCCTCCTCTGGTGCTGGAGGGCCATGTGCTCTCCAGTACCGCCTGGGCAAGGAGCAGGACAAAGAAAATGGGGACGGATGTGAGGATAGGATGACATCAGGAGGGGAAACAGATTCCTATCATATCATGAAAAGAAAAATGTTTGCTGCCAAATGAATTCAAAAATAAAATATTTTCATATTCTTCTCCTAAATGAGCGTGACAAGTCTGACGAGCGTCCGACTTGATTCAATTTATTTCGACTGAATATTTTGAAGTGACTGAACTGAAATAGGACCGATCTCTGTTCCATATGAACCCATCTTGAATGAATATTTCATCAAAGGCATTAACTGCACTGGTATTAGATCTACAGTCAGACTCAAGATCAGAAGAGCAGAATTGCAGCTGTTGGTGACCAAGTCACGTTCAACAGGCTGATTGGGGGGGGGGGGCTCCCTGGAAAAATAACAATAATAATAAAGAAAAGTGATACGCAGCCGAACAGAACTGGGTTTATCACACCGTCGTTTTTTGTATGCAGGTTCAGAAGATTTCATTAAATAAGGTCGCACTACTGAGCTGTCAGCAGTGACAAGAGGGCTAGAGAAGAACCACATTTTGTATTCAAGGAAGAACTACTTTTTAGGCTGAACTGAATGGCATCGATGATGATATCCTGAGCAACATGAAAAAAAAAAGCTTGACATTTTGTGAATTGTGCTTCGTGAGGGTAGTTGGAAGAATATGACCCTCATATTGCTCCAGTAAATGTGAAGCTACAGGCAGCAGACCGTTTAGTTGGGCTTAGTTTAAAAGAAACAGAAGAGCAAGTGGAAATGATACCCCATTTCTGCCAAGGGCTAAAAGAAAATCCCTCTGCTAACATCTCTGGAACTCATTAATTAAAACACTGCAGCTGTTTGTAAAGTTCATCACCTGCTGGTTCTAGTTTCATACTGACAGTTGAACTGGCTGAAAACAATATCCCATTTTACATAATTAAAAGATAAATGAGATTTAGTTTTAAATGAGATTGACTGACTTCTTACTCTGATATAACAGTCTGACTATGAACCCAGTCCAGCCTCGTGTAGTGCAAAGACAGATCCATATGAAAGAGCACTGATGACAGAGAACAGTTGGTATGGTTTGTCTAACCCACCGAGGCCAAAAATCTGCAAACATTAAAAGCTGTTCAGTTTGCTGCTGTGATGTCAAAGCTCTTCTCACTGATCATGCAATGTCGCATTTATGCTGAATGAAAATCCTTTATTTATTCTTTGACATGTGACATAGGTACAGATCATTGCATGCTCCCCTGCCCTGGGCAACTTCAAGTATTTCATTTATTTAAATTAAATGTATTTATTTTTTTTATTTTCAGTTTAGTTTTCTATAGCTATGGATCACCTCAGGTTCTGCTGTTTTTTTACTTTTTTATATGGAACTAAATGAATTTAATAGGGAATGAAGGGCAGAGTTAATATTTAAGCATGCTTATGCAGATTTCTCATTCCCATACTTGGACTTCAAACACCTAAAGAAGCATAAAAGAGGAAGAAAACCCACCTGTAACTGTGAACACAAAGCTTGTGCCAGAGTACAACTCTGCCACCTCCTGCCTCCAGGCCATCTATTTCTAAGGGAAAACATGATCCTCTCAGGTGTCAAAACACTACCCTTAGTAACCTTTACTGCAGCCTTGCCTCTTGACAGTCTGCTCCCACATCAGCCAATTTACTTTTATGCTCCCTGGTTCAGCAGACCAGGGGCAGGTTACAGTGATAACAGGGATGTGGTTCATCCTGACACCTGCGGGTGATCGCACACCGTGTCACACAACCTTGGGGGTAAGCCGCAAATGTCAGCGATGTTTTCTTTTATCTGAATCTGAGTGTCTGTTTGCCATTGCAGCCATTGCTACAATGAAGTGTCTCTGCTTTGTGAGTGCCACCAAGAGACAGATGATTTTTACTGACTGTGCAATGAGCACAGCAGTGTGATTATCTGAATGCAATTATTTATGCGACTGCTTGTGAATCATGAATAAACAATCAACAAGGTTGCAATCAGTATGCCTTATTATCATCCAAATTCCTAAGCTATGTTTATCCAGAAGATCAAATTTGAGAAACTGCACTCAATCTGGGGCTTCAGAGGTCACTCAGAGGTCATTTCCTCTCTGCATCTTAATCTTTGCTTTTATTTATTCCTTCAGTCATATTAAATATGACATTTACTAAAACAAATACTTTTTTCATAATGTGGCCGGTAACCTGATTGATTTCTACAGTAACCAATTCTCCAGACTTTTATTACTCTGCCTCAGTCTGCACATTTATCCATCACTGCTGACGAAAAACAAGTTTCTTATTTGACAGTCGCTCTATAAATTGCCAGTTGGCTGTCATTGGTGTGTCCATGCACTAGTTAAAGTTGCAGTAAAATCAGCAGATTATTTATAATGTGCGAACAAAACAGATGGCAAGCTCAGGGGAGCAGGGAGGACAGCAACAGTGTTTGCATGTCCCAGCATTCACGTGGATCCGTTAGACAACGCAGAGCAGTTGATATCAGTGAGAGTCATAGCCTATCCATTTTTAAAACAACAAAGTGTAAATTTGTTGATAGATTAATTTCACACAAGTTCTACCTTCATTATCATCAGCAGTACCACTGTACCTTGTTATAGTAACCATACGTTATGGCGTTGGGGTGGACTCCAGCCTTCTTCATCTCAAAGAGGACCCTCACTGCCAGGACAGGCTGCCCATACTGTCCACACAGCTGCATCAGAACCCGGTAGCAGACCTGCATGTGGATTGTTTGGGCAGAAATACTACAGACTGAAAAACAGACTGTGCAAGTGTGTTTGGACATCTTGAATCAAAAGACTGTAAACAAAATCTGCCACTGTTTTTAAACTGGATGTGATGAGTGAGGAGTGGACGACTGTGTAACTGAGGCTGGCAACTTTGTAATCACACAATCGAGCATTCAAGGATATCTTTTTTTTTTATACTAATGGTAAATAAATGGTAAATGGCCTGTATGTGTATAGCGCTTTTCTAGTCCGTAAGGACCCCAAAGCGCTTTACACAACCAGTCATCCACCCATTCACATACACATTCACACACTGGTGATGACAAGCTACATTGTAGCCACAGCCACCCTGGGGCGCACTGACAGAGGCCATGAGTACCATCACATGAAAAATTAACTTCATGCTGTATTCCACATGATCTAAAACTAGCAAATGAGTCTATAAACTCATCAGAAAAGTGTAGACTTTTCTTTCCTTCCCGACAGTTAGAGAAAATACATGTTTACGGCACTTCTGTACTGGCTTCACTTTTTAGATCTGGAGGCTTTGTCAAAGTTTCATACACAGTCTATGATCAACAGTTAGCAGGTAATTTGGGGCAACAGCTGATGTACCTCATCAGGGGGCTGTAGCTTCTTCGCCTGCATCTTCCTGAGGACGTCGTAGGCTGTGCGAAGCGCTCGCACCTTGGAGTGGCACACCTTCACGTATGCTGGCAGGCAGATGAACCACAGGCCGTAGCAGTGACGCAGCAGGCACTTGGACCACAGCTGAGGAATGGATGAGTACTTTTTAGCAATCTTCTGGGCTGATTTGATCTCCTGTGGATGAAAAATAGAAGCAGAAATTATGCATAATTCGGTCTCGGGGACATGTCGAATTCACACAGGAGATAATGGCAAATGAAAATTACCTACGCTACTGTCTCATGTCAGAAAAAGCTGCAAGGAAACCATGTCAACAAGACAAAAACTTCTACTTGCATCTTTTTTAAATCTGTGGATTGCTTGAAGCTGTTCAGTACTGTGTGCTTAATTATCAAGTATCAACTTTAAATACTGACTCTACAAAAGGAAATGTTTTTTGATGGTCTTACTTGCTATCAGCCTTGTAAAATTTTGGAGATTCTTGGAGCATGTTTGGACGTGTAGGTAAAGCAGCATGTATTTTTGCCTTATTTATAAGCATAAATAAATCAGTATGAAAATCCAAATGAACCCATAAATTGCAGTGTTACAAAAACATGTTTCTGTTGTGCTGACCTGCTTGGTGCGTCTAAACATGGGGGCAGGGCTGGTGGGACAGCTGTGCCTGGCAGCGAGGCGGGAGGAGGGCGTCTGCAGACCTTCCACGGGGTCAAATAGATCTAAACTCAACACTGGGAAACCATCATACCTAATGAAAAACACACATTCACACATTAGTGAAAGAGGGCACACAGTTATTTACATGCATACAAAGTGGGTTGGCATCCATCAGGCTGGAGCCTAAACACCCTGTGGGGAATGGTTGCTTCCAAGGTTAGAGTGACATCAATACAAAACCTTTTTTGTAATTGTCTACAAAGAGAGCTAATAAAAAAAAATGTGAAAAACTGCTGGTCATTATGGATTATGATTGGGACATAACTTAAGTGCTTCTGAAAAAAAAAAAAAAATTATTCAGAATGAGGCATGACTGCAGAATACAAATATTCAGCTCCACACGGTCCAGCAGCAGAGTTCAGTCTTGGTCCTCACTTTGACAGCTCAACTCCTGCTGGTCCTCAGTCAGCTATTGAAAAGAAAGAACTAACCAAATTGAAACTTAATCTATTGTTCAGATTTTTCCCTGCTGTTAGCTGTGAGAATTTCCAGTTCATCTCAAGGAAGGACATCTAGTAGGAGGATTGTACTCAGCAGCATATTTGTATGTCTTTCCAAATTTAAAACAAATATTACTCGTCATTTGTGCACAACATTCGACTTTGTTATTCAAAAATGTCATGCAAACAAAAACATGCAGACATCACAGAATGAAACTAGAACAAAATACTATATACACCATGTGCACAATTATTAGGCAAGTGAAAGATTCATTTTACTATGGAACAAATCCAGTCCTCTCAGTCAAGCCAAATTGTTAATAAACCTAAAAACCTGAATGTTTAACAAAGGAAATGTTACACACTCCTTTGTTTAAAACCCAAATTTTCCCGTCGTACTTGTTTATTTTCATTTTGTATAGGAAAGATAACACATTTAATTAGCAAAGATAACATAGGCAGTCAGCCTATGGATGAAAGATGACTGCCATCAGTCTTTCATCCATAATCTGTCAATTTTTTTGTGCAGCAGCAGCCACAACCTGCCAAATGCTTAAAGAGGTATACTGTCTTCCCTGTTTGTAAATCTTAAGCTTCAGAAGGGCTAACAAGGAAGAGGGCTGTGTCATTATTATCATCTTTGAGACCTTTACTGGGTAGCCAAGCGCTGGAGTACTTGTTTTCATGCAGTTCAATGCACCATCATATGTACTCAACAGTCTTATTAAATGCTGCTAACTTTTTTCTGTACCACTGCTTGAAGAAAGTATCCTTTAGGACCTGGCAATAGGTTTGGGAGTTTATTTTAAGTCCATCTTCAATGGTGCAACTAGCTCATCCTTGATAATAGCAGCCCAAACCAGTGCACCTCCTCCACTTTGACTCTTAGTACCCTTTAACCATTCGTGATCGAGTTATGATCCCATCTATCTGGTCCATCAAGAGTCACTCTCGTTTCATCTGTCCATACAGCCTTTGAAAAATGTGTCTTCAGATATTTCTTTGCCCAATCTTAACATTTCTAACTTGTGTGTCTTGTTCAGTGGTGATCGTGTTTCAGCCCTCCTTACATCAGTCATGTCCTTGAGCAATGAACATCTCGTAATTCTGGACACTCCAGGTAGATTGCAGTTCTGGAGTACAGTGGTACTAGAGGATAATGGCTTCCTGGTAGCGTCACATTTAATCCTTAAGTCTCTTCCAGTTAATTTGCATCTATTCTATCTATCTATCTATCTATGCACCCCCATTCCTCCATTGGAAATGTAACTGTACTTCCATAAGTACAGTTTGTACCTGTAGCATAGTGGATGCTCCTCTCCCTCGGGCAGAGGAGGCAGCTCTGGAGGCGTGATGAAGACTGTGTGCTCACTACGCTGGGATTCATCAATCTCTATAAGCCGGGTCTCCTCCGGCCTGTCGCTGTCCACCTGCAGAAAAGAAAACACAAACATGAAGGAATGTGTGCAGGTCGTGAGACTGTGACCTGTCTTCTATGACACCTGAAGGCAGTATGAAGCACCCCGTCTGACAGATCGGAAATTCCATATAGATCTTGATGTTATGGCCTATAATAAGTCTTAGCAAACATATCTTTGCCCAGTATTATTCCAAAACAGCTGATTCTGTTGGCAGGATTGTTACAGAATGAGTGTCAGAGCTGAGGAATGATGACAAAGAGTGACCTAGATTTTACTGCTTGCCTTTCCTTGCTTTTTTAAAGGATTATTTTTATACTTACGTTTCATTAGCAAACTGTTTAATGGCAGAACACATTATGACATCTGAGTGGAAAGTATCATCAGAATTGTTGTTATAATCATTACGACATACCAGAAGGGACTCAAAAATAACTATAATTACTGTTAGTGGTTTAAATGCCTCATTTCATGACATTCAATGTCATTTTAGCCCATTAAGGAGCTGCTCTTCAACTGAGTTGAGAGTCTAAGGGATAGAGGTTGTAATGTAAAGTACAGATTTTGAAGCCTTGTGTGTCTTAATATAACAAGGATACAAAAATTAAACTGATTTAATGTGACTTTGTTAAGTATTGGTGTTCTTGTTCAATTGTATGTCTGTTGTATTAGTGAGCAAATCCACTGAGAGTCTCAAATTCCTTGCTTGGCCTAAAAAGCTGATTTTGAAGTAAACAATGCTTTGAAAGTTTGAAAACTTGGAAGCTAGTTAAACGCTGACATTTTTTCCCTCCTCATCTTTTCCATGTGTTTTTACTGTTTTCCATTTGGCTGAGGTCAGTGTCACTACAGCTATCATGAGCTGATACCTGGACCCTACAGAGATTGCACAGGCAGTTTAACTCCTCCAGCATGGCACATCGATACCTGCCAAGGTTTGCTGCCTATCCCAGCACAGTCTCAAGACTCCAGTGCTGGGACAGTTAATCAAGGAGAGCTGGACAGGGCCGTAGGAGGTCCTTAACCCATCAGCACGACTAGTATCTGCTCCTTAGTGCATGAGGGAACGGGATAAGCACTCCCAGAGTCCTACAAAAGGGACCTCCAGCAGGCACGTGATGTGAATGTTTCTGAGAAAACAATCAGAAACAGACATGACGTTCATAAGGGTGGCCTAAGGACCCAGTGTTCTCACTGCCCAGCATTGACCTAACTGGCATTTGTCATAGAATACCAGAATTGCCAAGTCTACCACTGGCACCCTGTGCTTTTCAAAGATGAGAGCCTGAGCACATGTGACAGGTGTGAAAAGGTCTAGTGAAGCCGTGGAGAACATATGTTGTCTGTAACATAGTTCAGGTGATGGGTCAGTGACGCTCTGGGGAGGCATATCCATGGAGGGAATCACAGACCTCTACAGGCTATGCAATGGCACCTGACTGCCATTAAGTACTGGGGTAAAATCCTTGGACCCATTGTCAGACCCAATACTTTTGAGTATCAGCAAAATTGACTAACCTGCTGAATCATTTTTCACTTTTGGGGTATCCTTAAATTCAGCCCTCTGCAGTTTGTTCATTTCTATTTCTATCTAACAATGTGGCATCCTTTCATTCCTAACACGTTACTCAGTCCATATCAATTCCATATTGTGTAGCAGCTTTATAATATGGACTGAATATTGTGTTTGCAAAATAGAATGGACAGATGGATGCACAGACAACCCAGAGGGCTGTGGGCGCAGAAGCTCAATAAATACAGAGTAAAGATCACTCATCCCACGCAACAAGGACATAAACTCAGTCAACACCCTCTCCTCCTTTATATATATCAACGGACACTGGAACAACTTTTCTGTGCAAGCCATCACCTAGAACAACAGTTAGTTCAGTAGCTTTCTATTCAGTAACACTGCAACTCAATTTACAACTCTTACAGGGTTAACTGAACTTAGAGTCAACGTCTGTTGTGGTCTGTGTCTGGATTTGTCTGACATAAATGGTTTAAAGTAAGAAAAGATGAGGCAGAAAAAACAGGTCATTTGTTGATTCTTAATGTTCGCCTTGAGGCAGCTGCATCGTTGCAAGTGGCAAGTTGATTTGGCTGAAGTTATTCCCCATTTCAAAGTGAATACAAAAAAACATTTCTATGAAATTTGATTATTTTGGGATTGTGTTAATGCATTCACCATCTACATATATACTACCTTCTTTTTCTTTGAACAAATTTTTCATAGCATACTTCAGCCTTGGAAGACCACCTGATTTATTAATATACAAGGACCATGATCAGTTTGATTTACACATTGAAAGATGAGCATATCATGCCAAAGTCAGCTTAAGGTATAAACTGGCTCTATAGAATCTCTCATAACGGTTTGTCCCACTGTCAGTCTGTTTGGCTCAGATACATAGCAAGGAGACTACACTCAGCATTTGGTGTTATGTTATTGTAAGGCTGAGTTTCCAAGACCATATCTACAACCGTATCTCTTTATCGAATGATAAAAGATTATAGGTGCCCACTGATGGGGAAAAAAAGGTGTTCTGATTTTTATTAATGAGGCCAGAAACAAATCTATGTGGGCAAATGAAACAACAGCATAATGGTCCTCATTTATCATTTTCATCAGTGACATTTGGAGTTAGTGCAAAGATTTTACTACAGCCATACTGGTAGGGCAGACAGATAAGACAAAGTGAATCTTAAATCAGAGGGTCTGAGCTTATGGTGGATTTAAAACACCCAGTGTCACAGAGGGAAGCATCGTAAATTGAGAAGTGCTTAATGACAGGCTTTGGCGCTACAGGCAATGATTTTCTTCAAGCTGGAAAGAAGGGAGGTGAAGCACTTGCTTAAAGTTCATAATTTAGTCTAGTTATTCAGATGGTAATTAAAGTTTGATAACAACCTCAGTCAAAGCAGTGGAGTGTGGGAGTGTCTCTTCCTTAGTGCTGTCTAAAGAAGGCTTTCATTATTCTTCTTTTGTCCATTAAAGAACATCAGAGGCCAACATGATTTTCTGTGCTGCTTCTATGGGCACATTTTAAAACACAGGAGTAAAAGCAGGAGCTGTCAGTTTTTCAAGGGTTTCTACAAACCCCCTTAGGTAAGATGTAGATGAGAGAGTTTGGTAAGAGTATAGCGACAAACCCAGTGGAGAGGGTTTTTTAGGATTTTATATTGCTTTGTACAATAGCAATGCTGCTAGCATTAGCCATGTGGCTAACCATGATTAGCAATACAAGTCAGAGCACCAGTGTTCCCTGCCAAGCAGCTATCCAAACATATCACCACCCAGAAAGCAGAACTTGTACTTATCCAATTCACATCCAAATTATACTAACTCTGTGAAAAGCCAAGAAGTGTATTTTCCCAAAATGTCAAACAACTTCCTTTAAATAAACACTCTGTGACTTCGATGTGGCACCATGCTCCCAAGAGGTTCTTTCCGTCCATATTTTGGATATTTTGAAATTCTGCTGTGAACTGTTTCCAGCTATAAAACAAAACATTCAGGTGGCAGGAAATCGGGGTATTATAAAAACTACTGGGAGCACGTATTTGCAGACACACTCCACATTCAAAAAGTAACATTCGTTTTTATCAAAACCCTGAACAGTTTCAAATTAACGGAGAGCTGTCTAATTAGGGCATATGGACAAATGTTTCAATGTGATGAATAGATGAGAAATTTAGAAAAAACTGATTTATCAATCTCTACATGAGCAGTGCTTCTTTAATAATGTGTATACCTTTTAAAGAGTTACTGTTACCGAGGTCTTAATACTGTATGTTTTTGTATAGAATCACATGACTCTTTGTTTGATATTATCTTTCTTGCATAATTACTACTAGTGTTTTTGTCTTTTGGATTTAATTAGTTTTGCTGCTACAGCAAACATCTTGCCCTCAGGGATGTGTAGACTTTAACCTTATCTTCATGTATGGGACTCCTGTGTGTGGGCTGAGAGATGCACTGCGTTTTGTCTCCTAGAGAGTAGATAACGTCATCCACATTGCCACAGTGCAGAGACAGTTTAAGGGATTTAATCGCCCGTAGAAGTGACGCACAGGCTGCATCAGGAAACACAGGCTCCAGTGCAGGTCTGGGAAAACAGGGAGGGGAGGATGTGGATCCTGGCTTCTGTATTCACTTCCATTTTGTCTCAATTACAGCCAGAGCACACACACACACACACACACAATGCAAGGACAGCAAAGACTATTTCAAAGTCAGTTATAAATGTCACCTGCAAAAACCAGTGACCCAAAGATGCGACTTAGAAAGCAAAGTGGTTTGGTAGTCTTTAAAACAGCAAACACACAAAACTGAACGTTCTGCACACAAATATGGTCTGATACGGGGACACATCCCATGAGCACATGAGGTCAACCTACTCAAAGTGCTCCCAATGGAAAAAAGGAGATGGACTGAGAGCAACTCCGAGTCTTCACACTGTCACACGAAAAAATGTGAGCCTAGTGGAAGAGCAAAGAACTAACTTCAAGCTCTGTTAGCGCTTCAGAAATCACTGAAGCGCTAAAAACCCTTACTCACTAGACTCATGAAAAATTGAAGGAAGAAATCTTCGCAGAAAACTGCACACATGGATTTTCCATGATACAGTGCATTCACTATCTCGGGACAAATTGCTGTGGCAGCAAATTTAATGTGGATGTGGGAGAATTTTCATTAAAAATAGAGAATGTGTAAAAAGGCTCTACAGCTTGGATCATAAGGAACTAATTTAAATGACACAAGAATACGTGGGCGGGATAACATGAAAGCTTAAATCATATCTGTATGGCTGGAGGGTTTTCTAAGAGCATTGAGACAAAGCTGTTTCCAATTATGACTCAAAATAATTTGGTTACATTATGAGTATCATGTAGTAGGTTTGGGCCATATTTCAGTCACAGGGTATGTAGAGGTATTTAGAGATCTGGTTGCTACGATTTTAAGCACCATCATTACATTGCTGGATCTCAATTAGACTGGTATGGAGTTGTTGTATTGAGAGCATGTATTGTAGTGCAGCAGTAGCTACTGATGTATCATTCAAGTGAGCGCAGAGAGCTGTTAAAATACAATTCCAAACAGTAAACATATTCTACTTTAACAATACATTGTGAAATTTTTCACTAAAGAAGCTAAAACGTCCAATTTGGACATGCCCCTAGAATTTCCTGATCAGTTTAAATTAAAACTTGTACCATCAACTAGTCAAAAAGTAAAAACTACCCAGAGTGCGGCTAATGTTGGCAGTACTAGCACCAACAGCCTTCTTTCTTTGGAAAGACAGGAAAGTGAACATGATGTTGCACAATAAGCTGTAATACCATTTAGAATAGCTACAGAGCCAAATGTTATCTACTGCAGTTTTTTTTAATCCTATTTCTGATGACAGTGAAGGCAGCAAAGGTTAATTGTCTGTCTGCTAATTCCTCAAATCCATTGCCACAATGACTTCTATCTAAGCTTTTAGGGGTTCTGTTCATTTGCTGGTTGTTTTTTTGTGGGGTGTTTTTTTTTTTGGTTTTTTTTGGTTTTTTACACACCATCATCACACACCATGAACCCTGTTGAAATATCAGGAAGTAATAAGAGTATGAAAAAGTAAAGACCACCCAAGCTTACCATACACCATGCACAATTCCTCTATCTGGAAACAAAATGTTTCAGGATAGGTGAGAATAAAAATAGACTTACCTTGCCTCCTTTATCTGCACCCCGCTCTGAATTGTAAAGCTGTTCACAAGTGGAGGCAGAAAGGAAGAGAGAAAGGGAAACTCGAGAAGGTTTGGTTGAAGACAAGTGAAGTGACACAGAGAAGAGGGAAATCTGCTAACACTACTGTAAGTGGAACACAGTGGGGGTCCACTGAGAAAAGAAATGCCAGAAAAGAAAAGGGCTTTTTTCCCCCCTCTACTGCATCAAAATGAATATGTATGCATGTGATATAGCATTCTCTTGTATAAAATAAAAAAGCTCACTTTATCCACACAGTCGTCAAAGAAGGCCAGGCTGGCGTCTTTGTCGCTGACAAAGGAGCACTCTTCGATAAAGCGGATGAACATCTGGGTCTTCGTCATTAGGGAGTAGAACTTCTGGTGTGAGCGGTCGCGGCTCTTCAAGAACCCTGAGGGGAAAAACATAGATGAGTTATTAAACATGGTAGTAACCTTACTTTGCTGAGATCTAACATGTCAGTGTTAAAGAACCCATTATTCTAGAACAAGCTGTATGTATACTGCATCCATTTGTCTTGGTTTGGATAATGCAAGCCACAATGTTGTTAGTGTAATGGCCAATACGGGATGTGCAACAACGTGGTGAAAAACTAGATGCTGAAAGCTTCTAATAAGTCACTGCTGTTATGAGACTCAGAATAGGATGGATGGTTTCTGGCTCACAGCACAGATGTGGAAGCCAAACACTTCCTGCAGTTGATAAATATTTTAATCATGACGCCGGCCACTTGCAATTTGGGCCTGTTCAGGTCAGTTTCAGGGTAGCCTCACGATACCATTCTCTATGTCCTTCACTACATTTTAAAACATTGGCCTTAAAAATTAGTCCACTTACCGATTACTTAAAAAAACAACAACAAAATCTTTAATGCATTTCAAACTTTTGCTTTTTTGCTTTGTGCTGTCACCGAAATGCACTTTGGATCTGACAATCTGAGTGCCAAATAATTATGTTTATTTAGTTCACATTTCTTCCAGTGACCTTAAAAATGCAGTCCAGTTATTTTTGACCTGAGTTATGACTTCAAAACAACAACAGGGCAGACCCAAAAAAGTTTATTCTTTTCATCTGGACGTAGCGTTTTCAGTTGGAGAAATGTTTCATCATTCACCTGAGTGACTTTTTCATACACATACATTTGCATAATGACTGAAACTAGCACCACTGGTGAACAGTGGGCTGTGAGGTCAGTTGTCATGACCATTGATCAACAACCACTGACCATTGATCAGTTTTGAAGGGATTTCCTAACCTGGATGATTAAACAAGGATTAAGAAAACAATAGGTAGTATCGTCAAAATAATAAAATAATTTCTATGAAATAAAGCGGCACATACTAAATGTCTAAATGCCACTGAAATAAAATCAACAAGCAGCCTACAAGGCTTTAGTGCTCTCTGGTTCAGGATTACGTTAGGCCCGTAGAGAACAAAAGGAGGTTGAAATGTCTTAAAAGCAGCAGGAAAAGAGCAAGGATTAAAGTTCATTAATGCTCATCAGAGAAAGACAAATATTTTAGAACACCTCTAAAACAGAGTGCCATCAGCACACTGAGCTTGGTGATACCATTTTAAAGAAAATGGATTGACTAGCAGGTGGTGCTTGTATATGTGTTCATCTGTTATTTAGAAAATAACCTGAACTGAAGTAAAAGTTTGTTTTTTTAAATTTACCATCTGCTTTGCAAATTTGAAAAATCAGAGTAAAAAGGAACACAGCTGCAGCGTGTGTGTAAAAATGTCATAGACACAGATGTTGATTCATATCATCATATTAACATACTTAGTAATATTTTATTGTTGTGGATATTAAGTAAAAAGTGGTCAGGAGTTCAAATGTGATGTACGAGCTGTTACATATTTCTTTGAGTTATTATGTAATATACTGCAGCTTTTCCTGTTTGCTGTATCACATATTTCAGACAGGACGCAGCCTTGGCTCCAGCTATTCTCCAGTGGAGCAGGCTTATCACCCCAACTCACTTCAACTGTGATGCAAAGCAGCTTTCATGGGCTCAGACCCACAGGCAGGATGACAACCCTCTGGAGCTCAGAAGCTGCAGTGTTAACTGACTAACCTTCAGTTTGCAAGCAGCCTCGACCCTTCAACCCGAGCATCTCCTCAAAGCCTAGCCTTCCTGCCCAAACAGCTTCTCTGTGTATTTACTCGGAGGTGGAAATGGACACTTACGAAAGCTCATGTATTAAACAACGCCATCTGTGCTTGAGGCAGGCCAGCTGTCGAGAAGAAGGTGCGACAGATGATGTGGTCTTAGCTTAAATATTCAGAACGTCATTAGCACTAATCATGCATTGTGACTGTACAACTAGGACTGGATAATGATGAAAAAGTAGAGCAAAGTTAACTTTTGATTCTGCGCACCACATTGGATGTTAACAGCCTCAGCTCTGTTGGTCAATTGTCAAGTCAGTTCCCTAGAGCTCTTAGTTCTAAGAAGGCTCTTGTTGGTTGGTCTAGATTCTCAAATTAAAATGACTCAGTAAGTCTCCACTAACTCATTAAATATCCTTGAGATTAGCCAATAGCCATGCTAATAAAATCAATGGGGAAGGCATTGAGAAATGCACAATAAATCTTCTTCCCCACACCCTCCAAAAAAATCTGACAAAATTAATAGAGCTAATCTGTCAGGATATGTCACACAATTTTCTTACTTTTTCCAGAGAGAAACTAAAATAATAGTATCAGCATTATTTTCTCCAAGAGCTCAGGCTGGCTTCTGTTTCAGATCGTCAACATTATGGACGTCAGCGGTCAGGAGACAGGTAAGACAGCAAGTGTATAAATCCTTCTGTAAAATGTGGTTAGTGCACTATTGTCAGAGTGATTGGGTCACAATGTGTAACACGCAACAAACTTCTACTAGTTCCAATTAGGGAATCTGGGTGGAAAAGTCTAATTAGATTCTTTATTACTCCACATATTACTAACAAATTTCAGCGGCATCAGCAACAATATTGGAGACAGTGTGGTCTTCTGGACATGTACACAATTGACACCATTATGGGACAGTATATTCAAGTTAATGGATGACATCATGGCTTATGCCACCCCTAAGGAACCCAAGACCTTCCTACTGGGTCTGCTACCCAGAGATTTGATACCAAAAAAGGACAGAAACTAGAAAGGCCATAACAAGGAATTGGATTAGCAGAGCAAGTGCTAGAGATTAAAGAAGAAATACACTTGATTTAGAGACTGACTTTCTTTCTACGACTCGAAGGACATCTTTTTCCACAACACTGGACTAAATGGCACAATTACAAGCAAAGGCTTGAAGACTGTTATTTAATCCAGTCTATACCTCTTTATTTGTAAGATTCTTGAATAGTGTCCCAATTTGTTCCATTTATATTTTTGATATATTTTTGTTACATTTTTGTTGCTATGGAAAATTGGAAATAGAAAGTTTAAAAAAAAATGTGGTGAGTGCAGAAAAGTACCATAAGGTTCAGGCTATGTTAAAGAATGAAGGTGGTCATACCAAATATTGACTTCCAAGCTGATTAGAATTAAAGAAACTCTGTTTTGCCCAGTTCTGTACCTCTAAGACTTTTCATGTTTCTGTGTGAGGAATATGAAGAGGCCAGTGGGGTGAGGACACCAGCTAATTCATTCAGTCTGTTTCCTCTGCACATGGAGAGCTGTTGAGAGTTCAAGCTACATGTGGACACTGACATTATTCCTAATACCTTGCAAGTCAAAGAGTGAGCTAGCGTCTGTGGCTTTCTCTGAAGGCGCTTGAGTGATGGGGCGCAAGAAGGAGCGGTAGCCCTTCAGAATTGCTGCCATGAAGCGCAGAAAGGCTTCCTGGATCTCTAGCTCCAGTGTGTGGAGACTCTTCCCACAGCTCAACTCTGACGAATCGCTCATGCTCAGCTCCAGCAGCCCATCTGGTCGGTACTGACCTGAAGCAGGAGGAAAATGCATTTTAGCAGCTGACAGCACATATCAGGATCTTTAGGCTAATGTCAACATAAAGGGTAAATCACTACTTTCAGCTGAGCCAGCTGCATCATTTGCATTTTGATGAAGTGGTTCTGATCTAAGTGCATGTGTTGAAAGGTTTGTGCACAGCTGCAGTATTCCAGTAAGTAATCCTACTGTGAATGAGGATTAGTATTACATAATTACATTTTTTTAATCCTTAGTTGATATCCTTATTTAGAGACTTCCAACAGGGTTAAATGTCTCAACTACAACCTCTGGCATGCATATCAATATTCAGCACTTGTGGCAGTTACTGGCTAGATTTTCAACTTCACTGAATTAGAAAATTAAATTATTCAGATTCCTACAGCTCAAGAAGTAGCAGGTTTCATGTTCACTCAGTGGGTATGCTTCCTCAAACGCGCAAAAAGTTGATAACAATACAGTGAGCCCCACACCAGAGCAGACGGATAATTAGGAGATTATGCTTTGATGGGATTATTGCTGGCTTTCAGATTTGAATGGAGAGCTGGACAAAGGAAAGTGAATGGAGAGCAAATTGTAAAGGCAACACAATCAGTGACTACAGATGATAAAAATAGAAGAGCGTGCAATGTGGAGACCTTAGTTAGACCCTAATTATCATTGAAAGTGATCTTTACCATAAATACATCCAGAAATGAACTAAATAAACGCCAACACTGGATGCAGTTTTACAATAATTTGCCCCACCGCTTCAGCACTCACCATCAACAAGCTGCTGGTAGAGATTATTCAGCACATTCATTAGGTTTTTACAAGCTTTCTTTGGCAGAATCTTCCATGTGAGGGCTCGCTTATCTTCATGGCTAGAAAAGCAGAAACATACACTGAGGCCAACATCAACATGAGCAGTGGTTAGGCCAAGAGGGATTTCAGACCACCCCAACGTTGCCTGGCTGGTAATAAGGCCAAAAATGATGCGAACCATTACTGACCTTACCTGGCACGCTAGAAAATTGCATTCTCGTCATATTAAAACAAGTCTGACACTACAAAAATAACCATTTCCACCCAATCTCTGGCCTGATGTCTAAAGTTAGAACTCATGAGCCAGCAGCTATGCTGTCTGAAAAATAGAGGGACCAAAGGATGTTGAGCTTATAGCTTAGAAGGTGCTGTATGGATCGCTGTATAGAACAATGAACACGGTGAAGATTAAGCTCAGCAAAATTCACTTTCTTACCTAAATACCTACAGCTGTGGGAAGGTTTTAAGGATTGTGCTTACTGGAAGATGGTGTTTGTGTCCAGGTCCACGCAACTGACATCCGGAGGGGGATCATAAAGATCAAAGTAGCGAGAGTCCACGCCTACAATGAACGGACAGGGGGCACTCAACACATCAGCCAACGCCAGGGGGCACAGAGGAATATACGGGCAGGGCCAGTGGAACGGAAAAATCATCTGAGGAGGGTGAAAAAGAGCACAAGAGCAGAAAAATCAGACAAACCTCCTTCAGTGAATTTCCTGTTAACACAGGACTGAGCTATAGTGCACGTGGTCAGATTCACAGTATAGCTGAGCCATGTATAGGATTAAAACAAAACGTGAACATCATCTGCAGTGTTAAGAAAATGTTTGTGACCCCCCATCCCCTCCCTTCTCTATCTCCTTTGACCTCCTCGTCCAGGTGTAACAACAGAATTACGGTGGATACAGGACATTCCACATTTCGTTTGGATTAAGGTCCAGACTTTGGCTTCATCATTCTAAAGCATTATGTTTAACTGTTCTTTGGTACTTGTATGCTTTAGATCATTGGCTCTCCTCATTACCCACAGATGTCCTGAAAATTTCATTTGTGTGCTGGTATAATTCTTAATTTTTTCTTAATTTTTTCCATCAGTGATGACAAGTATTTCTATGACACCACCACAATGTTTCACAGATGGAAAAAGGCTCCCATCCAGGAATGCTGATTATTCCTTTCTCCAAACATAATGCTTCTCATTTGAAATAAAAACAATCTATTATCCATCCACAAAAACACTGGTTCAACAGCTTGCTGGCTTGTCCTGACTTGTCCATGTTCTAAAGAGAAGTTGTGTTCTCCTTGCATCCCTTTACTTCAAATTGCTGTTGTTTAGTATTATCTCGTTGGGGGAAACACGGAGTTAACTTCTGTGAAAGAGCCCTTTAGGTCCTGGGAAGTTACCCGGAGTTCTTTCATAGTCATTCAGACTTTAACATGACATTTTCCTTGAGTGATTTCTGTTGGTTGACCCCTCCTGTGGAAAGTAAGTATAGGTGGTTCTATGTCATGTTTAGCATCACAAACTTTTAATGTTAAGGTCAGGCTTGGATAAATCCACACTCTTAAAAGTAGGACACCCACTCACACCTGCTTGTCATCTGACTGAAAACACCTCTATCTAATTTCACCTTCAAATTTACTGCTCATCTTAGCAATTTACTTTTCTATCACGGAAAAGTCAGTGGCCAACTATATATTTCTATGACTGGATTTGAAGGTTTTCTTCTTTACCTACAACAATGTTTTATTGTATTTATAGAGATATATAGACAGGGGTTCACAAACGTTTTCTTGCAATTGTAAATGCTGCCATTCATTTAAATTAAGTATAAAACAAGAAGGCAGTGAAACTAAGGGGAGATAGAGCACTCTATGACAGCTGAATGGAGTTACTTACAGACACGAGAGCCTCAGTAACACTGGTCAGTACGGCCGGGCGTAGTGAATGGATCAGGATCTTATGTTCAGTGACAGCAAACACCAGCAAGGTGACAGCGTTCTCTGGCCCAAGGTTGTGGAGCAGTGTGGAAAATCGACCACCACTAAATAAATAAATATATAAATGATTTTCTTTTAAATTGTTTCTTTTAAAATCTATTGTATATATTTTTTGAAAGAAAGGCTTTAGGTTTCTCAAACAACTCTAATATTTATAATATAAGGCGAGTTCAGACCTGATTATATAAACTTGGCACAGAAAGTAAGGTAATTTGGATTTGGTGGATTATTTGTTGTAACAACAATTCTTGGAAAAAAAATGTGGTACCTGAACAAACTTCAAATGTTGATTTTTAAGTAACCTAAGGTAAATACAACTGCAATAAAAATGTTCAAAAGTTAAAGTAATACTCAGCCATGGAAAATTAAGGTAACTGATACCAATAGTACACCTTCAACTAGAACAGGGAAGGCCATTAAAGATGTTGAAGTGCTTCTAATGTTCAAAATATTAAAATGACCATTTAAGTAGAACCATGAAAGTCAAAACATGATCTGGAAGAACAGAAAAAAAATTCAGATATGGCATTTCTGCTCATCAGAAAAACAAAAACACCCATATCACTGCAATGGTGGTTGCATGTGACTGTCAAAGCGTCACAGTCACATGCAACTGTGACGCAACTGTGACGCTTTGATACACAAATGCAGTCTTGCAGTCCAAATATGAAGAGTGTTCAAAAGGAACAGTACCTGCAACCTCATTACAAATGTCTAAAGTCTGCAAAGTAACATCTGGATCAGCCAAAGTCATTTTGAAAACAAGTGCAGTGGACAGACGAAGGTCACACAGAGCTGTCTGGCAACAATCACAATGATTTGTAGAAATAAAGTGAAGCCGCGCCTAATTTAACAAAAACTTTAGATTGGAAACATATTTTCGTTTGGAGCTGGTGGGGATTCAGGGGCAAAGGAGAATCTGCATGAATAGACAAAAACGGGTACAAACTAACAAATCCTACCCAAAAGAAAGTAAGAGCATTGGCTACGAACCCACATTTTTCTATAAATATTTGTGTGGTCCCAGAATTTTACAATCTCAGTTTAAACTGAAACATTTTACTATTGCATGAAAAAGATTTAATTTTTCATGCAGTTTTATTTAATTTGATGGGACCAACATGCCTCTAAAACTTTGAGACACAGACAATAAAAGGCTGGAAATTTAAGTGGTCCTTAAAAAAAACAGCTGTGAAAACATTTTGCACCTAATGAGTGTCACTGACAACAGGCCAGGAACACGACTGTATGAAAACAAGAGGATCTCAGGCACCACTGTGGCCATAACAGGGCATGACATGTTTCTGTCATGGAAATCACTGCATGGACTCAAGAACACTTCCAGAAGTCATTGTGCCATCCGCAAATACAGGTTAAAGCTCTATCATGCGAAGAAGAAGCCCTATGTGAAGATGATCCAGGAACACAGCTTTCTTCTCTGGACCAAAGCTCATTTAAAATGTAATGAGGCAAAGTGTAAAACTGTTCTGGGGTCAGATTATATCAGTGTGTTCAGTTTGAAAGCCTGCATCTCTGATGATATAGAGGTGCATTAGTACCTCTAGAACTGACACTTGCACATGTGGAAAGTTGCCATCAATGCTGAGAGGTATTTACAGGTGGCAGCTTTTTCAGGGAAGCCCTTGAATATTTTAGCAAGACGGTGCTACTGCATCTATTACATCAGCATAACTTACATGCAGTCCAGACCTTTCACCATTTAAAAAAAGCTGGAAACAAAAATCCTGTATCAGACAAAAATGGGATGCTACACAGCAGTAAATATGACCCTGTTGCAAATTTTTTGGGACATGCTGGTGCAATTTTTTTCTGACAAACTGTACATTTTGTCAGTTCAACAATTTGATATGTTTTCTAACTGACGTTTTACACATATTTCTCTAGATCTGACACTAAAACTAACATTTAGCACAAAGAAACTTTGAGCACAGCTGCTCTTACCTGAGCGGTAATGGAGAAGAGACCGGCTGGCTCAGCATCAGGCTGTCATGAGGGGAAAGCTAAAGAAAAGCTGGAAAATGAGATAAAACCAACCACGCAAAAAAAGTCTGCACTGAATCATTTAAATGTTCATCCATAATGAAGGACCAAAAGCGGTGCACCCCTGCGGGTGAACTAACACCTTCAGAAATCAACTCATTCTTCAGCAAGATGCAGGTTAAACATTCGAGCCTGCATTAAATGCAATAAGCATCACAAAGAACCATTTCGCTCTTGCAGTTAAAACATACCTGCACAAGGATGCGAGGCCTCTGAGAAGAAGGGAAGGGAACTTTGTGCATGAAGTGCGAGATGTGCCTGGAATGAAGAAAAATGAGCCAGCAGTAGGCAGCAGAATAATCCATCTGTTCAACCAGTAATGAGCAGGAGTGAAATACACAAAGCATGACTCTTCTGTTACACATTACCTTACCAGCAGAATTATAAGTATGTATCTGACCAAACACAATTTCTGTTCCCTTTTTTCTTCCTCCATGTGAGAAAAAAAATTATTTTCTCTTTTTCAACTCTAACATCAGGAAAAACAGGTCCAGGTTCAGACACAATTAAAACTAAACTAATGACATATCTCAGCGTGACACCATGTAGCAAACTGCCAAAGAAAAGAGTTATATTTCCACAACCCAATCATTGTAGTTGCTAGAACACTAAATAATAACATGTTCAGCAACCAGAGCATACAATTTTTAAATGAAGAGAGAAAACACAGAGTACTCACTTCTCAATGGGCAGGGCATGAGGGCCTGAGATGGAGTAGCGATAGAGGAATGTGAGGAACTTGCGGAAAGCATCGAAGAAGGGCCAGTGAGAGAGCAGGCAGATACACTTGTTGGTGTAGACTGAGCGCGGGCTGCCGTTTGCGGTGCTGCTGGTGCCAGCGGCCATACAGCTGGAGGGAGACGGTTTGTGAGGGTCGGGGATCAGGAGACCCAGCTGGGAGAGCTGCTGATCGGTCAGGCACTCCTGTGGGTAGGGCTCATAGAACTGAATGGCAGCACCGTAAACCTGGTAGAGGAGAAATAAAAACACAGGAAACCAGAAACAGTCTAAATACTTATATACCTCTGTGATGTGATAATGCCACAGTCAGACACTTTTCTTGGTTTAGATTTGCTTTTGAAAAGGATGCAAAAAAAGATTTTTGTAAATAATAATTGATCTGCCAGTGTTTCTGTGACTGGTTAATAAACTAAAAGAAAAAAAATCATGCCATTTGCAATTTTACATGCCCAACTTCACATCTTAAAATTACTTGCTTTATCTATCTGACCGCCTAAACTCAAAGATTTCATTTACACAATTCAGTCAGTGCTCATTGCAAATGTTGCAAATGAAAATCAACTAAAACCCATCAACCTATCAAAATAAATGGCCTGTAAATGGCCTGTATTTATATAGCGCTTTACTAGTCCCTAAGGACCCCAAAGCGCTTTACATATCCAGTCATCCACCCATTCACACACACATTCACACACTGGTGATGGCAAGCTACGTTGTAGCCACAGCCACCCTGGGGCGCACTGACAGAGGCGAGGCTGCCGGACACTGGCGCCACCGGGCCCTCTGACCATCACCAGTAGGCAACAGGTGAAGTGTCTTGCCCAAGGACACAACGACCGAGACTGTCCAAGCTGGGGCTCGAACCGGCAACCTTCCGATTACAAGGCGAACTCCTAACTCTTGAGCCACGATCGCCCCTAAAATAGTTCCCAACCACTTTATGCTAATCAGCCAATTAGTTCTGATAAGACAATCATTTTCTTTAGTATCTCCTCTCTCACTCACACAAGCAGACATACTGGCAAAACCTGAAAAAGTTGATTCTCAGCACACTGGCATACCAGCTTAGCATGTGAGATAGTGAAATTAAAATGTTCTTACATTAAAAATTTTCCTAACATAATAATAATTTAAAAAAACCACTTGAACAGTAATATCAACAGTTAAATTAGCCCACATCTTGTGCATCCTGTGAGTTGACTGAGGCAACACCGCACAGGTCACTGATGAAACATACAGCATGGGAATTGAGTTAAGCAGCGGTAAAGACCTATTGCAGTGCTTTATCTCGAGGTTTCTTAGCATAATGTAAACTGTAATGGATTTTCTGCAGTTTATTTCTTTTTAGGACATCCAGTACCAAAATGAATGAATGCTGGCTCCTGCCCACCAGATTCTACAGCCTTTTCAGGGCGCAACGACAATCTAAAATGTCCTCGCTGTCCAGAAACTTTCCATCCAGTCTGTGTGTAGCTGTTTAACTTCTACTGATCATTGAAATGCCAACAGTGGTTCAAACAAACAGCAGTTAGCTGAGCTTTATAAATCTCCTCTGCTTCCTGGAAATATGAGACCTTCCCACTTCATACACAGATCAAAGCTAACGGGCTTATCTGCTGTGTTGCCTGTTTGGGTCCGTTTTTCACATTTTCCTCTGAAAGGAACTCAGGCCTTTGTTTGCCAATGAGTGGGTGTGTTTGCTTCTATGTACACACTGCGGTCAAAAATAAAGCCTTTTTATTAAAAAGCACTGTGTTTTCATTCTATGAATGTCTATGAATGACTTTCCTTCTTCCACCACAAAGTTTACGGTTTCATCCAGAAACAGAAAGCCAACTAGAAATAAAACTGGAGGTTTGACACCTTTTAACTGACGATAAAGTTACAAAAAAAGTAGCAGAGACTGTGGTTATGGCAATAAATATAGAATATTTAACTTAGGCGTGATTGCTCAGTTATCAATGGAGTCTGCAGACTGCCAGAGTCCAGCTGGGTCTTCCTCTGACCTTGGCTAGTAAATGACAAGGCAGAAAACACACTGTCCTCACCAAATATCCCCCTTAGAGTCAACCTTCCAAACACACACACACAGAAACTTGACTCAGCAGCAGCAGACCGAGAAGGGTTTGGCACTGCCAACTGCTGCTGACCTCTAACTGACCTTGTTCAGCAGAGCAAACGATTAAACAGTGGAAGGCTTTGGATGTTATTTGTTTTCAATCGTGATTGTTTTACCACATAATTCACTAATATGTGTCAATATGACACTAACCACAACTGGACGCCATTCCAAACCCAGAGATCAGCACAGCAGGCCAGAGCTTGTGTTTAGATTTGGAAACCAAGGATGTGCCTGTGTGCCTGTTTGAAACTGGAATTGTGCTCCTCTGCTGATGTGTCAGTGAACCTCTGCCGGGTTTGTTTGCATAAATTTACCCTTTCTTCTTTAATAAAGAATTCAAGATAGAAAAAAGCAAAGTTGGGCAACCATAAAAAGATGGCTTGTTGAGAAAAATGAGTTTCCTTTGGACTCCACAGTCCAAAAACATGCACGTTTTAGGAAAACTGGTGACTGTAACTTGGCTGTCTGTCTCTATGTCTTAGCACTTGTAACCTTATCTATGGGGAATACTCTCCAATATAAGACTGCTGCAGCCCATTTTGAAATCTGAAAAGCCCCTCCAGTCAACCCAGGCCTTTAACTCTGATCATCACACAAGTCTATTGATTTCTTGATTACTAAGGTCTATCTTGGAAATTAAAACTGTCCCTCTTTTTGAAGTGTGCTAAGTATTTGGATATTTTACTAACTCCTCAACATATCAAACTGTACGTATTGATGGATCAAATTAAGTTTATATTACCCGCGTGAACAATGTTTACACCGCACAACACTATATTTTAGCCTTTATATAACTGGAATTGAAGGTAATAATGCCTCTTTTAAAGTGTGATATGATTTATGATGGGAAAATGCATGACTGGGATACTAAATATATCGGGTTACTGGTTTGATGTGCATATGTGTGAGAGAGTGACTCATTAAGAGAAACAGAGTCTGCATTGTTGTGCCCTGAGAAGCAAAAAAGATAGCTCCATAAAAAGACTACAAAAGGAACAACCTTGTCCTTACAGTAGTGTTCAGGCATTTACTCTTCTAGTGAGCTGGTAGATTCTTTTTGGGGGGTGGGGGGGTGGGTTGGGGAGGCTGTTTTATTGTTGTGTTTTAATTCAAAGTTGCTGCCTTAAAATACAAAGCACTACATATGAGTTTATAAGGTTTTGGCAACATGCCTGACCTATTTTTACTTCTGGCATGCAGCACAATGTGGTTTTCTCGTGCCCTACTACAGTGTATGACTCTGTGGTCGTGTCAGCTGTACAGATGGCAGTTGAAGTCTGTTGATGAGGTCTAACAGTCAGTGGGAGGCTCTCAGATCCAATGCTGTTGCCAGAGAAGCTTGTAAGTCACCTGGATGAGTGAGAAATAAAGTAGTGTGGCCAAATATCCATTCATTCATCTCACCTTCTCTCCAGAGGCTCCGGTGAGGACAAAGGTGGAAAAAACAGGGAGGGAGTATTTGGTGTTAGCTGGCCAGCACTCAATTGTGGCCCCCATGGGAAGGCAGAAGAGAGGAACAGACTCTGGCAGAGGGAATGACTCATAGTCCTCCTCTGGATATCTGCTGAATAAACCTAACAGAAGGAAAAAAAGAAACAAAAAAACCCCAAACAAACAACTGAGAACTCAATTTAGAGAGCAGCTGAGGGCAACAGCCCACTATGAATAACAATTACAAGCTAATGTGGATGCAAAATTTCCTTTCTAATAAGCTTAAAAGCAAACAAGTGCAATGTACTATAATCACAAAGATAATGTACAACTTTATCGAGGCAACGTGTCACTAGAAACGCCTGGCTTTGTAATAAGCAAACAGTCCTACATAATCGCACATTCAGACAATTAGTTACTGTCAGTGGACACAAATGAAGAACAATGAAGTACTGATTTTACTTTGGCACTTACTTAACTCTTGAGCTGCATCCAGCTTGATAAAGGATGATATGAACTAAGCGGTTACACAAAGAGCTTTACGATTTAAAGTTATGCCTTATTAGGAATGTGGACACTTCTGCTAGTTCAAGTAAATGACACTGCAAACACTTGCCAGCTACTTACTAAACAGTAGGGGTGGGGGAAAAAATCGATACTGTGTAGTATCGTGATATTTTGTTTGCTAATAATGTATCGATACAGGGACAGCAGAAATCGATATTTTGTTACAAAAAAAGTTTTTGTGGACTGGAACTCTGACTTCAGAGCATGTTGATCCTTTTTCTGAGCAAGAATCCTGACATTCCTTCACTATCCAAATGTGTTTAACTTTTTTTTTGGCAGCAATAAACATGACAGTTTACTTATTTTAATTTAAGACATGTTTTATTTTAATTAAGTTTAAAACTTTTTTATTTAATGTAAAATTATATTTTGTTTTAATTTACTTTCAAATTCTTCAGTTGCTGAACGGGCTGCATAGTTTTCATAAATTGCATAGTTCAGAATAGCTATAATTGTACCAGATGGTTGCATTCAGTTAAGTTGGACTAGACTGTAATACAAACCGTTCAGTTTGTCAACAATAAAACTGACTGAAATGAGAGAAAGACTGAGTGTGAGACTTTGATATTAGATAAAATGAATATTGATAACGTTTACCTTTATGTACAGAATCTGAATATCGCAAAATATTTAAAAAAAATTGCAATAATATCGTATCGTGCGTTAAGTATTGTGATAATATCGTATCGTGGGATGTATGGTGATTCCCACCTCTACTAAACAGTTGTGAAAACTGTGACGAGTACGATACAAACTGGTGAAGGTAAAGCTGAAAGTAAAAAGTTGTATTTTTAGAAACAATGGTTGTGGTGCTAAAGATAAACTTTTACTTTGAAAGCAAATGGCTTCCATTTGTTTGTGGTGTACTTTGCTAAGTCTCACCACAGCTTGGTGATGATCTTTAGCTTCATTTTTAGTCTCCTCCAAAAAATAAAATATAGCCCTTTAGCTGTGGCTGATGAGAATGCTGAAATAAACAGCAAATGTGCCACAGGAGCCAAATAATTTCTTGAAAATGGTTATTAAGCTTGGTTACACTGTAAAGTTTCACTGAATTATACAGGCAATCATTTTTTCTGTTAGTCTAATATATATATTGGATTACAAAACTTTAACACTAAACGCGCTAAAAGGAGGAGGGCCTTAGCAGTTCCCTGTGCTAAATACCCTACTACATAGACACTCTGACTAATGTCCTGCTCCACAGCTATAAGTGCTCCTTCACATGTCATTTCTACATGAAAACCAAACATCCATCGCAGAACAAACTTATCTTTGCTCACATATGGATTAAACCTGAAGCTTGTTGCTTGGTGGATTTCCTTCCTGGCTTGAAATGTTGAAAATAAGCATCATTTCTGTGAGCTGACTCATCCAAAGCATTAGATAATATCGCTTCACAGTCTGCTGCATATTCACAACACAACAAAACGTCAGCAAGTCTGAGACTCAGCCAAACCCGCCGACTCTGAGCCAATAGTGTTATCAGAAAATCTTATGTCAGTGTTTTTGAAACGGGGAAGACACACAGTATTTAATGTGGCATAATCACCACCTTACATGTAAATATATGCTAACCATTAACTCCCTAGCAGGGAATAATATTGGCATGCAGAGGCTTATCACTTCACTTCAATTCTTGTTTAAACAAGCCGAATTGCAAGCATTACTGTAGCAGAGTGCCCTCCTGCAGCCAGTGCACTCTGCAGAATACGCTTGTCTCAACATCACTACACCAACACAGTTACAGCAAATATAGAAACAACCGATATGCAATAAACAGTTAGGAATTCGACAATTTATTATTCATAAAAGAGTGGGTAACTTTCTAAATGCATTGCAAAATCCACTCTGACTAGTCAAATTTTTCTCACCCACAATGCAAATAATTTGGCAGAAGAGAAAGCTACCTACAGACAACATACCATTTGATTTCTTAGAGGTTCACATCAGTATTTGGATCTGTGTGCACTGACAGTTATCAGATTAAAAAGGCTTACCTGCTTTGTACGCTATTGTGTTGGTTTTGGCCACAGACTTCTTGTAACACAGGTAGACTGAGGATCCCCACTGAAAACAAGAGCAGAAAACAGGTCATACTGTTATCCTCTGGGTCATCTTAGGGCCAATCAGGATCAAAACGCATCAAAATCTCATCTGGGCCCGCATTCCACTTAATCCTTTTCAGAACTGCAATTCTTTCAACTAACTAACAACAAGCACTATTTAAGTGTTTTTATTGTGCAGCACAGTATCAGCCTAGGATCTGTTCTCCGTACATGGATAGCCATAAAGTCAAACTTGCTCCCATCATGTTTATTAAATGTAAACAAGATTAAATAATGGACCTAAACGGCAGAAGTGGCAGCCAACCGTGGCTGCAGCATTCCTGAGGGAGGACCCTGTTGTGATTAGTGCACTGATAATACGAAACATTTTCAGAGGAGACATACTGTATTGTCTCCACCAGCAATGTTTTGACCCTTTAGACTCTTTACGTTTGGAGAGTTACTGCTTTAGTCAGGAGACGATACAGCAGATACACTAAGTATCGAATATGACACCAATATTCAAAGTAAATATATTTCTAAAGGTGCTACTGACATGAATTTCTCACCAGATGTTGGTAACGACCCATTTAATCTACACATGCAAAAAAATCATAGTCATAGATCTCCATATATTAAGTCACATGTAATAACTAAAGAAATCTTTAGATTTATTTGCATAGATTTCTATTTATTTCCTAAAACGAATGGTCTTACTTTGCTGAAACCTTCAATACGACTTTTGCTTGCAACAGCTTTTGTCCAGATTAGAGGTGGGGAAGAGAAAGCTGAAGCAAAATCTGAGTAAAGAACATCATAAACTGTTGACCCTTACATTTAGGAGATCTGGGTGTTCTGTTACTCTGTGGGGGGCATTTCGCTTGTATGGTCTAGTTAATTTGTGTGCCTTTAATTTATGGGCTATAAACAGTGCTATCTGAACTCCAGGGGGGCACACCAATAAAACCACTGCACCTATAATAACCTATATAAGATAAGTCTTCTGTCCAGCAGGCTGGGTATTTCACACCTCTGCCTTAGAGGTTTGGAAATTAGTTCTGAGTGATCACATCACTGGTCTTTATCACAACACTTACGGAAGATTTTCCACTTGTGTGTCACTGTGTTATATATTATGCTCCATCACCATCATGAGAACACCAAAGACAGTAATATCTCACTCTGACTCGGTTTCCCAGACAAGTGTCATTTGGAAGAATGCTGAGTGTAGAACTGTGTGTAAAATAAGTGGTAGAGCAGGTCATCTACTGATTGGAAGGTTGGTTGTTCGATTACTGGCTTCCCCTAGTCTGCATGTCAAATATCCTTGGGCAATATACTAACCCCAAATTGCTCTCCGATGCATCCATCAGAGTATGAGTGTGTGTGAATGTTAGTTAGAAAGCACCTACAAAAATCTGCTGGTGTGAATGGGTGAATGCACAAGTTGTGTAAAGCGCTTTGAGTGCTCAGAAGAGTAGAAAAGCGCTATATAAGAACCAGTCCATTTACATAACATCTGCCTGCCGATAAATCCGTCATGCTCTAAGTACTATGTACCATAAGTAAAGAATATCATCATTCATTGTTTCTAAGGTCATTCTTGGGTAAATCCTAAAGGAATTAAATAAAGTGCAATGCAAATTGTTTGTACTTTTGGGCATTTTGTATTGTATCTTCTAAGGTTTTTATTCCCTCCGTTTAGGCAAAAATTGGTTTGGTGATTAGTGATGGGAAATAATACCCACACACACAAAATGTCTTGAACCTAAGGTAGGAAGGCTTTTTGAAAACTAAGGAGTAGTAAGAAGAGATATTTGTGTTTAAAAGTGAGGGAGTATAAGTACAAACACTGTCAAAAAACAAACAAACGCTCAAGTAGATACAGATACCTAAAAATTCTATGTAAGAATCTTATTGTGGTGGAGGTGTGGTCCCTGGCTCGGCTGCAGGGGAGGAGTGGTGCAGTGAGCTCAATGGGGCGGTGCTGGGGAGGCAGGTGAGAACACAGCTAGTGGCGTTTGGTCTGATGACAGTTTCTTCCCCTTTTTAGTGAGACGGGAGAGGAGCGGAGGGGAGCTTTGGAACAGCTGAGACCTGAGCGGACCAGACTGTGAACTGTCACAATAAGTAAACCCATAAATAAACGTGACATCTCGCTATACCGATCTGTGTGTGTGTGTGAAGTGCATTTTACACTTATTAAGGTACAGCACCAAACTTTTTGTACTTTATTACTTCCTACCTTTGCTTCTGACAACTAAAACTAAGGATGCTTCCAAAGTTTAATAAAAAATTTTAATAGGACATCACATTCTGCTTCAGGCACTAAAAGTCTATAGATTAATGAACTAGGAAATTTCAGGACACATGCAGCCACAAACAGCACCTTGAAGGGGATTGCCTATTCTAAGAAATGCCAAATGTAGACCTCGCTGACACTGCAACGACTTTTACAGTAATTTAGTCTGTTTGTGTGTGTGTGTGTGCGCGCGTGCGTGTGTGTGTGTGTGTGTGTGTGTGTGTGTGTGTGTGTGTGTGTGTGTGTGTGTGTGTGTGTGTGTGTGTGTGTGTGTGTGTGTGTGTGTGTGTGTGTGGTGTGTGTGTGTGTGTGTGCTGGTGGGATAAGAGAGCAGAATAACATAAAAAGAATATGTATGACAGGAAAGTGAACAGAGCACAAATACTGGGTGTGGAGAAACTGAAATGCAGAAGCAGACAACATCTATCTCAAGGGGCTTCACTATATGAAGAAAAAAAACTATATTAAGAAAGCACACGCACACACAGCATTGAAAAAACCTTCATGAGGCATTTTGATGGTTCTCCATAATTAGATGTACTAGCCAATTGGAGCACCTTACATGAAGGCAGAGAATTCTCTTCAAAATACTGAAATACACATTTAACTAGAAAAAAAAACAATAAACAGATGAGATGGCTTTCACGCCACAACATGTGTCAGCACAATAAAGAAAAAAAAAACAAAAAAAAAAAACACAGAAGTTTGACTTGAACAGAATGACTTAAAATTTTTTATCACATGACAGTATGAGAAAGAAAGAAGCTCAGAACCATCTTGTATTGCTGACAAGTTTCACACAAAGCTTTAGTAGTTACAGTTTTTCTCAAATGTTAAAACACAAAAGCCAATCCTGTAACCCAAATGACCAGTAGTCTAAACACATTTACTAAATGTAGCCACCATATTCCAGTACCATAAACACATGTCACATGAAGACACAATTCACAAAACACAACCCTCTGTACTCATAAATCTAAACACATTTTTCCTTGCTAAAACACATGTTGCAAAACAACTCTGCTCATATTCTCAAATGAAAGCCCATGTGATGCAAAATGCTTGCCACAGTCACCAATCTTTGAACACAGGGAACACACCTGGCGTCATTCACTACACACAATGACTCAAAATTGAAGACACTTGTTGCTAATGCTGTACCCACATGTAAAAGCAAGTTCAGAGTGCACAGTATGCTGAAGATTCCAAACAAACACAATGGATGAAGGCAGAGTCAGGGGAAGAGGAATTTGATGCAGAGGAGGGAGAAGAGCTGGCCCTGGAAGAAGAGGAGCAGGCCAATGAGGAAGAGGAGTTCAAATGAGAGGAGGAAGAGGAGCGACCAACGAGGAAGAGGAGAAGGCCAACATGGGAGAGGAGAAGGTCCAGGAGGGAGAGCAAGACAACCTCGCACCATCATTACGGACGAGATGCGAGCAACAGCTCAGCGACATGATGCCGCACAGTGATTGTGGTGTGTGTGTGGTGTGAATAACGTAAATAAAAAAACTTCACACCCTGTTCATGTTTTCAAGATTACTGTTGTGTGCAATAGATTCTGTTTTTGCATTGAGTTGTGTTACAGTAGTGTACGTACATGCAGGATTTTCTATAGATTTATACTACTCATATGAAACTCACAAATCTAAATGCCTAATCCTCTGCAGAGATCTACGACGATCCGTTACTGTATAGTTTCTAAAATATGCATTGGCAGTTATGAAACAAAGAACCTTCTCACAAATTGAGCATTGTGTTTTCAATTGTTTTGCTGTAGTGTGTAATGATGTGTATAGTGTTTACAGTTTTGACAGCTTCGAGCTGCTCTCTTGGTGTGGGAGTTTGAGTTTTGCAGTGGGAAGGTGTGGTTGTGTTTATGTAGCTTTAGAGAAGGGTGTTGTGTTTGGACATTGGGGGACCTGGTGGTAACGTTTGTGACATGTGTTTTAGCATTTGAGAAAAACTGTAAAATGAGACAGCAGAGTGAAGTTGAGGATTCAAGACTTATGACTAAATGTCTTAGCATTTCAGGTGACGGCCTGACAGCACGAGCAACCATCTGCTGAATTCAAAATGTCATAGAGTACCTTCAGAAAGGGAAAAAAATCCACATTCAGTTGTTAAGAACTGTTTGTTTTTTTTAAATTACAAGTTATTCTGTTTTGAAGAATGTGACATTAATGGGTTTACCCAGTTGCTCTCGACCTGCACCTATCATCTAATTTTCCTGTTTTCAAAAATCCAACAATACCATCAACATTTGCATTGGCATATTTAGACTAAAATGGCTCATTCCCATTCAAATATTTGGTTTATACTTTTAACTTATGTTTGCTTCCAGTTTACACTTTCTGTATCTTACCCTCTTTATGCTGATGTCATTCGTTCTGTTAGGTCTTTAGAACTAATCTTCCTCCTCAATAGCTGACGTCTGTGGTTTTGAGTGTGTGTTGCTATTTTTATTTGTGTGCAACTTGTACATAAAGTTCAAGATGTTTGTTACACTTTAGTATTTGTGTCTTTAGCACAAAAATGAAAGATACTACTGTGCTTACTGACCTCGAACCGATTTTGGCGTACAGAAATCTGTTAAAAAATGTTTTAGTACAACTTTGATAAGCCGCACTACTTGATGGATTGTCAGAGCATTGCGGCTGCCATAGTGAGGAGCTTCGCGGAGTAATCTGGGTCCAAAACTCCGTCCATTCAGGTCCCAAAGTCAAAGGCTAAGGGTTAAAAACGGTCTAAATTATTTCATCTTTAATTAAATCATCAGCGTTGCTGCTTTATCGGGTGTAACAATTAAGTTTTACATCCATGCATCCATGAAAACAGAATTTATTAAATTTAACAGGAAGTTAGCTCGCTAGTTTCCACCTAAACATTTCATACCATGTTCTGACTGAGAGATTTTTAAAACTAATTAAAACGTACAGCTCTGCTACCACTTCCAACATAAATGAAGACAGAAAACTAAACAGCAGTGCCGTTTGTAGGGTTACTGAAGTTGGACTACCTGGTATATAATGTTGTGCTACATGATTGCTAGCGACACAGCTATTTTAGCATAACATTAGCACAGTGAAGCCGGAGGATGAACGCCAACTTTTTTTCCACTCGATAAAAGTTAACGTGAGGGATTCTGGTGGTTAGGGACAAATGCAATCACATAGCAGGATGCTATACACGGGCCAAACTTCAGTCAGGAGAACAACTGAGATTATTCATCCACAATACGAGGTTAGTGATTAATATACTGCAACAACATGGGAATAGAGCAGCTGCCAGAGAATTCAACATTAATGAATCAATGTTACGGAAGTGGAGGAAGCGCAGTTTTTGGCTTTCCCCATATTTCAAAAGTGCTTCATCTCTTTGCTATGACTGTCGCCCGGCATAATTTGCAGATGATAATGGTTGTAGCCGCTGCGATGCTTTCGACCAAAACAGACGCAGCTTGATGACATCATCAACATGTGCTATCGCGATAGAGCGGTATAGTCAAAATCTCTATCGTTGGCCAAATTTATATCATTTATATCGTATATCGTTTATATCACCCACCCCTGAGTGATGTATTCCTCTATTCCTCACCAGTTTCTCCCTTACCATGCTGCTGTTGAGATTCTTCTCCACCTTGCAGAAAGTGTGTGGTGGGGTCTCCCCTTTGCTCGGGATGATGATGCAGACATCTGTGACGGCCAAGGCGGCGTGCGGCTGGCTCTCGGGAGCCCGGCGGTAGGTGATGTAGATGCGTTGGGAGGAATTGCCACTGATGTTGGCTGGGCGACCAGAAGGTGTGGTTTGGATAAGGTGGCAGCCCTGCTTCAGACGCTCCTTCCACTCATACAGCACACTACAGGAGGAAGCACAGCAATGTGGTCAACCACATAAACTGCCACATCGGGGTGTAGTTATTAGTGTGATTTCCATGCACAATTGATTGCTGGGCTACTCAGCTGGAGCAAGTCCTATGCTAGTGCAGAATTCAGTGGCTGGCACAATGAAATTGATTAGTCTGCTCTGTATTATCTTATCCAAAGCAGCATTTGATGGAATTCATGAAAAACAAATAGACATTTATAAGCATTCAAAGTGGCAAATTCAAGCTCAGAACCACCTCCATTACTTTGGCCACAGTAACGCATGTTGCAAAGGAGGAAAAAGTCTGGACACTATCTGGCTCCAATTTAATAATGGAATTCTTGCCAGCCACAGTCTTGTTGAGCAGACATCCTTTTCCAGTCCAAATAAGACATTAGTTTACTAACATCTATTTCTTTAAAAGAACAGACAAAAAAAGGGCCACATATCACAGTTGTTTGTCCAACACTGTACAACTACACTGTATATGCAAGGAGGAAGATTATAAATCACATTAGAAAATGATTGACTGATTGACAATGACTGAAAATACTGATGACCACCAGTGCTACCCCACCTAGATCTTGAGTTGAAGACTCACTGAGATTCCAACCTCTCTAAGATTTTTAGTAAATGTGCCTATGGTATCGATTTGACGGTCCTACTTCGCCTCGTTCAGGAGTTATCGCATTTACAAACTTGTAACAAACTCGTGTCCAGGCAGCCCACCCACCCCTGGTATTGTCTAATGATATGCTAAAACAGATCAAAAATGACACAGATCTCATTGAGAAACAGCATATGGCCCAATTAATACAGACAATATAGAATTTGCAATAAACATTACCTGTGACTAAATGGTAAATGGCCTGTATTTGTATAGCGCTTTACACTACATTCAGTCATCCACCCATTCATTCACACACTGGTGATGGCAAGCTACATTGTAGCCACAGCTGCCCTGGGGCGCACTGACAGAGGCAGAGGGGAAAAAGCATTACAGATTCTCAATCTCTTCCATCACTCACAGGAGGTAATCAGTATGGAAGCATGTTAGTTTCTTTCTAACACATATTAATTACAGCTGCTGGTCAAAGACTGTCAGCTTGGCAGCAGTGTTGCTAGTTAGCTTTCACATCAGGCAACGGTAACACGCCAGCTCACTTAAACAGACATCACAAGATCCTAATGTAGCCAAGTGAGCTGAGGCTGTATTCAAACCCAAACTGACAACAGTCTCTGCTTGTGGTGAAGCTAAGCAAGAAAAAAACCCAAAAAACAGAAAAACAACAAAACAACAAAACATTCCAACTTTGCTGTAGATGACACTGTATTTAGAAGCAGCACAAATTTAGCACCAGTGTTTATTCCAATGCAACCTTCTCTATTTACTGATTCCTTCTTATGTGCGAACTCAGCTTTCAGCTGGAATACTTTGACTTAAATGCACATTTGGTAATGAAAAGATATCAAATCAGTATTCGGTTTTTCTGCTTTTAATTGAAAATCTTATTTTTTAAGCAGAATTTTAACTCCTATTCGCTTGTACTTATCAGCTGAATTTGCCTTTGACTGACTTTGAGATTTGTGATAGTCTTCACACATGTATATACACACAGCTTACAGTATACTGACACATATATTGAGCCTGTACTGCACAAGAGGACCCTTGTACAAACCACTTAGCGGACAAGTACTGAGAGATACACAACAGTGGCAGTAATTTTAAACACTCCTCTTGGTATTTCCATTATGCACTTATCCTCCATTACTGTTTCAAGTGAACTCAACAGGCATTTTGTGGCACTGTCTGAAAGCTGGAAAGAGAAGAGAATGTAAAGTAGTCGACCGAGAGATTTTTATAGTTTCTTTCTTTTTGGTTCCTGCGTGGATTGCTGTGGTAGCAAAGTGACCGACTTTGCTCTGCACGTCTTTCTGTGCTGTTCATGTGTATATATTTGTATTGACATCAGTCAATACAAATATATGTAATACACTCTTAAAAAATGGCTCAATAAAATATGTATTTATAAAACAAATATTCCCAGGGTAGGGTTACCTGGGCCCTGCCCTGGAGCCAGACCTGTGGAGGGTGCCCAAGGGTGAGCGCCTGATGGTCGGACCTTATGCCATAGGGCAGAGTCTGGTGCAGCCTTAAGAAGGGGCGTGTAGGGACATTCTAACTGTATCATCAAATCTGCAGTTGTGTGTTCTGGACACTGAGATAAAGAGAGAGGCTGAGTTGCCACCAGGTGGTGAGTTGGATCAGGTGGTGAGGCAGCATACTAGACAGACCTGCATGTCATAACATATAATTAGGATGCTGCGCTGGGACCGCCTGAGAGAGGCCCCGGTCCGCAAGATCTTCAACTCCCACCTCTGGCAGAGCTTTGACAGCATTCCAAGGGAGACTGGGCACATTGAGTCCAAATGGACCATGTTCAGTACCTCAGCAGTCGCAAGGTGATCAGTGCCTGTTGTGGTGATAAAACGCAAACCAGATTCTAGATACTGCAGGTGAAGGGAGCCATCAGACTGAGGGAGTCCTATCGATCTTGGTTAGCCTGTGGGACTTCAGAGACAGCCTATAGATACCAACAGGCCAGGTGGAACACAGCTCAGGCAGTGGCTGAAGCAGAAAGGAGGGATGGACCGTGGCTCAGGGGGTTGGGAATCGCATCTGTAACCGGAAGGTCACCGGTTCAATCCCTGGGCTCTCTGTCCTGGTCGTTGTGTCCCTGGGCAAGGCACTTTACCCTACTGCCTACTGGTGTTGGCCAGAGGGGCCAATGGCGCGATATGGCAGCCTCGCTTCTGTCAGTCTGCCCCAGGGCAGCTGTGGCTACAACCGTAGCTTGCCTCCACCAGTGTATGAATGTGAGAGTGAATGAATAGTGGTATTGTAAAGCGCTTTGGGTGCCTTGAAAAGCGCTATATAAATCCAATCCATTATTATTATGAGTTCGGAGAGACCATGGAAAAAGACTTTTGGACTGCCTTGAAGAGCTTCTAGGAAAACCGTCAGGCGACGGTAGATGTTGTAAGGCTGTCTTGGTTTACACGTCTCTACAATGTTTCATGGAGAGCAGGGGCAGTACCTTTGGATTGGTAGACCAGGGCAGTGGTTCCCATCTTCAAGAAGGGGGACTGGTGGGTGTGCTCCAACTATAGGGAGATCACTGCAGCTGCAGTGAAGTGGATATTGTACCAGTCCATCATGGTGAAGAGAGAACTGAGCATAAAAACAAAGCTCTCGATTTGCCAGTCAATCTAAGTCCCTACCCTCTCCTACGGTCACAAGCTTTGGGTGGTGACTGAAAAAAGTAGATACAAGTGGTGGAAATGAGCTTTCCCCAAAGGGTGGCAGGCCTCTCTCTTAGACATAGGGTGGGGAGTTCGTCCATCCAAGAGGGGCTCAGAGTACAGCTGCTACTCCTCCCCGTCAAAAGGAGCCAATGGAAGCTATTCAGGCTTCTAACAAGGATGCCTCCTGGGTGAGGTGTTGTGGGCATGACCCAGGACACACTGGAGAGATTATATCTCTCAGCTGGCCTGGGAGTGCTTTGGTATTCCCCTGGACAAGCTGGAGGAGGTGGTTGGGGAGAGGGAGGTCTGGGCTTCTCTGCTTAGGCAACTACCCCCATGACCCAGCCCTGGATAAGCAGAAGAAAATGGATGGAACGATGAAGCTCCGTATGTTCCCTTTTTAATCCTCATTATAGACCTTTTTCAGGGCACACATTTTGAGCACTGTTTACAATTACTGCTTATTTTAGTCAATAATATTAACAATTACATTTATTTAGGAGAGAACGACCCAAGGTGTGGTATTATATGTGATGGTCACTGAAGAGAGATTGCATAATTAATGAATAATAGTTAACAGTTCTACCTGTGGCTTTCCTGCTGTCATGAGTCAAAATGTGTGCGTTGAAAAACTTAAATTGCCACACATACACAACACTTTCTCCATTTGCAGACAGTGCCAGCAAAAAATATAATGTTTGAGTAAAACTGCATGCAAATAGTGCCTACACCTGTTCACCCACATAAGCCCTCAGTAACCATTAGTGTTGCCAGTGTCTGGGAAGTGCAGCCCCTTTGGGCTTTCAGCACACAAAAGCTGCTGATATTGTCTGAGCACATTCTTTGTCAGTGCCTGATAAGCACTGCACTGTGTAGTGTCAGAGGCCAGTGAGAGCCTCCTTAGCATCATCACCACTAGTATGGGAGTGCTCAGCAAACAGTATTGAATTCACACAGCTGAAAAGATGCTGCTGAAGAGGACACCTCTAACGGTGCTTCGCTTCCACTTTTCTGTTGGTAAAATCACAATGGCTGAAAGCAACTACTGCGGAAAACTGCTACAAAGGAGGATTCCAGGGCAGAGCAGAGCATTTTCTGACGTGAGAGCACTTCAGCTTTTTGGGCCGCTTTTCACAGCTGGTAGAAAGCTGCCAGTCACAGGAAGAACAACCACAATGTTTCCTGATAACAGCAACTGATCTTAAATAGGGCTTCTCCAGAAAGTTTGTTAACTGTGAAATGAGGGGAATTTAGTTTTTGTTTCAGCGAGAGCCAGCTTCAACTCTGGGCCAGTTACCAGGGTAACAGACTCCATGAAGCTAAACTGCACACTGGCAGGTTTTTAATTTTTTGTTGTTGAACTAGGACTCCTCTCATGCTTAGCCTGGCTGTGTCAATGCATATCATCATTCATTCAGTCGATACCAAAGCAAATATGGCAATACATCAATTAGCAGTTTTAAGTTGGTTTTTTTTCCTAGGATGACTTCCAGTTAAACATTAATCACTCTGTGCTCAAAGAACAAGGACAAAAATGTTTTTATAAGCTGTTTTTTATAAAGCTCTGTGACTGTAAAGACAATAAGGCAACTGTCAGGTTGTCAGCCAGTTCCTCTGCACTCAGATCAATATCAATTACAACATATGGTGGTGACTATATGAATATATCCAGGTGAGGATTATTGCGGTGTAGCTGAAACAACTTAAAGATTCTTAAACTGGACTAACAATGTAGTTTAAAGGGAGATTTTGAATTCAGGGTGCAGGCAGTCCGAATGTGTTCAAACAGCATTTAATGCTGAAATATTTACACACCTCATAAATAGAATCATTAAATGTTGCCATGCAAGATTTGTGAGTCCAAAAGGACATTTAAAAGTTAAAAGATGGTGCAAAGACTGCAACTCCCCCTGGCTTCTGCTCCGTGGCTGCTGAGTGACCCCTCATTTGGGACTCTCCTCAGCTCTTTCTGGGACAGTGGCGCGGCTGCCCCTCTGTTGGTCTTCCTTGGTCTCTTGTGTTCTGGGGGCCTCTAGGTGTCTGGAGTTTTGATCTCCTCCATACCTGCTTCATGCCCTGGAGGACGGGCTGTGGCCCCCCCACACCCTCTAGCAGATCATTACATGAAGGAACCTTTTAAAAAAACAAGCGCGTCCATGCTCACAGGTGTACACACGGGTGATCACACCCACAAACTACACCCTTTTTGGCTCCTACCTCAAAGCACACTGTGTTCTGTTGATCTTATGTGCTGCACAATAATGTTTAATATTTAGTATTTACTGTCATATTCCCATATATCATTGTGATGTTGTTTATTCTATTACTCTTGTTCTCTTCTGCTTGTTTTCTTTTTTCTTTCTCAACAGGTGATCCAGGTGATCGATATATGCATTTTTCTTTTTTTTCTTTTTTTTTTTCTTTTTTGTTTTTTTTGCTGCCCGTTCTGTTGGTTTTTGTTTTTTGCCCTTCTCCCCCGTCCCTCTTCTCAGCTGTTTCTCTTTCCCTCTTTCTTTCTCCCCTTCTTTCCTCCAGTCAAGTCTGTCCCGTATTCAGCAAGTGAAAATAAAATAAACAATAAAAGGTGAATCAAATGGACCATTATGGCAAGGCTGGGATGGTCAATTTAGTAGAGTAAATCCGTTGGGCATCTTTCTTTGTCTTTAGACAATAATTCTGATGGCAAAAGAGCCAAACGGGACAGGCAAAAAAAAAAAAAAAAAAAGTAAAAAAAGGGGGGAAAAAACAAAAGGAAGAAGAATCCAACCTTTTTTTTTTTAAATCTAACTGGGTAAATGATAATTGATTGGAGCAAAGAAAATAGAATCATTTTAACTTATTTTATATTTCCCTGCTGATTTTTAAGATAAATGTCACTGCTTCACATTGACATGCATTCATAACTGGAATGGATGAAACATGGACTGTTTCTTTTATATCGCTTTTTTTTAATCTAATTCAGGGATAATCTCTGCTCATCATTTATGCATTGCCACAGTACTGTAGGCCAATTCCCCTTTTTTCCACACAGAGAGTTAACATACATAGCCAACTTATCCCTGGTCATGATCAGACTCAGAGTTTCTCATAAAAGAGTGAATCAACTCGAGTTTAGAGTTGAAATCAAATTTGCTAAATTTGCTTCCTGGAATGGTTCCAACAAGTAAGATGAATAATAAACGAGATTGTGTACTGCATATGTAAACAACAGCACTGCATGTCTTGGGCAGGCTTGGAGTCAGCACATCATTACAGTCATTCATCCGAGGTGTTTAGAAAATTCTGTCAAGCTGGTGAATTTAATGAGTATCTAAATCCTAGCAAAAGTGACTCAATTTACATTTTCATAAATTTATTCTAATGTTCACAACGCACGTACTGTTATTTCAAAAGAGAAGTGTAAACACTTTCCCATTTGTCTTTTTCACCTTCTTTCTGCGGCAGAATTCAACTCTCTTTTTTTTTAATGTACAGATATTTATGTCTCCCAGAGGATGAACTGGATCTCTTTATTTTACATGCATTTATATAATCTGTCCCACTTGGCTTTTGCAGCCTATTCCAGTTTTCCTGACAAGGTGACACTTTTCCATACTTCAGTGGTAATATGAATTGCTTCCAGACTGGATCCTCCCATCCCTAGCTTTATCATCATCATCATCATCATAAATTCCTTTCTGATTTTGCATTTTGATGGCAAAGTAAAATTGACATCTGAGCATTTACAAAAGCATTTGCAGACAGGTTAATTCTTGGCCTACACAAGAAGAGAAATACTTTAATGAACACCTCCACTGAAAAGCTTTAGTCTCAGACTAGCCCAAATCCATGTTTGGGACACCAAGCTTTAACCTGCTTATGCATCAGCATGTAAATGTAGTCCCTGACAATGTTAGCAAGCTCACTTAAACAGCCAAATACAGACTCAAAGTGGTGTTAGCCCAGCTATAGAAAAGGTTTTGGAAATAAAGACAATGTTGTGCTTTGCCTTGTTTAATTACAAACAAGGCAACCTCCTTTGGATACTTACCCCAAGTCGGTTAGCGGTGGCTTGTCACGACCTCGCCTGTAGCACAATAAGATCTGCGGCGCCATGAGGGCACCGTTGTTAAGATCAGCCGATTGGCCTGTCGGTGTTGTTTCTATGCATGTGAACCCTGGCGGCACCTCCTCCCCCACTGAGCGGATCACCACTGCCACATCTGTGATGGGTGCCTTAGGCCTGGCCGTCTTGTGGCAGACATCATCAAAGTGGATCTCCTGGTCCAACGGCTTGGACGGGTCCGTCAGACCAGCCACCACAAAGTAGTCGGCTACACGAGGGCCTTTGTCCTCCATCATTTCCCATCCCCGCCAACTACCTTCAGAGGGAAAAAGAAAGAGAGGGGTAGAGACACAGAGAAAGAGAGAGAGAGAGAGAGAGAGACAGACCAGGAGATTAATTTTCGTTGTGGTTGCAGGTACAGACGGTTCTTGTGTCCTTGCTCTGGCTTTAAAATGAAAAAAAAAATCTGACAGCCATAAATCTTTCTAAAGGGAGGCCAGTAGAAGGGCAAATGGAAAGAGAGGGCAAAAATGTGGGGAAGAGAGGCTATATAATGAAGCAGCCATTTAGAGCTTGGGTAGTTAGCTGACAGTCTTTGGCCAGGTCACGTAATCAGCGGAAGGTTCAGCGTCCCAGCTCAAGGACACACGTGGATGTGATGAGGGCATAACATTTTTGGTCTTGAGGTTTTTCAACCTTACTCTAATTCTAAAGAGTGAAACTCTGGCTAGCTACACAGATCTGAGTGTGCATTTTGAACAGGGAGCAGTGAGGTGTTTCTTCACACATTCCACCTTAATTAAAGACTGCCCCCACGTATAAACCTGAGCTTACAAGCTTTGTGATATTACAGAGCCTATTAAGCCTGTGTGATAAAAGCCAAACAGTAGTTTTCTTAATCTAGCCCAGAAGGGCATGCTCAGACTCAATAAGATCATCTACATTTACTGAAGCAGCACAGTCTCAAAGGGACAATGATATGGTTATATAAACTAAAGAAATGCCTTTTGTTAGAGATAAAGAAAACATCCTCTGCAATTGACAAATTACAGAGTTGCACATGTTTACCAGCATACAAACCTCAACCTCTGTCATGAGCTGTCATGAGGTTAACTGAACTTCAGGTATGAAGTTATGACCTGCAGTCTATCTGGGTCAGATATAAACCAAGTTTAGGTGTAGTTTATTTTCGTTGTGCTGAGTTTTTACAGTCAGTTACAATAACTCGTACTGCGTACTAGGGCTGCTCAATTAATCGAATTTTAATCTCGATTACGATCTGGGCTTTCAGCGATCTTTAAAAATGACTGAGCCGATTATTAGCCCCTCCCTCGTGCTTTACTCTCGCGCTGCTCCGTGTGGCAAATCGAGCGCACCTCTCTGCATTTCGAACATGTGTCACAACAATTAAGAGCAGCGGTCCCCAACCTTTTTTGCGCCATGGACCGGTTTATGCCCGACAATATTTTCATGGACCGGCCTTTAATGTGTCGCGGATAAATACAACAAAATAAAACTAGTACCGGTACCGAAAAAAAGAAATTTAATTCATAACACACGTGAAAAGACCCAGGAAAACCGAGTAAACGATAAAAACGATAACAAAATAATGCTGAAAACCGATAAAAACCCTGAAAACCATACATTTCACACCTGAGCCTCAACTCTCATGGCCCGGTACCAAACGACTCACGGACCAGTACCGGTCCAAGGCCCGGGGGTTGGGGACCGCTGATTAAGAGGACCCGAGGGAAGCTCGGAAAGCTTAGCAGAAGTCATTTGGAGAGGAGAGTGACTGCCGTTGGTTGAAAAGAGAGGTAAAAAAAACTTCAGTGGTGTGGAAACATTATGGGTTCAGTCAGACGTGGATCAAGTAGACATAGTGTGTAAACTTTGCCACAGTGTCGTAGCTGCACCACAGAGCAACACTGCAATATAAAAAATAAATGAAAAATGTAAACATCTATGTTTAGTGAACTTTGCAAACATTTGCACTGTTATCAGTATTTGCACACTATTTTATATTATTTTTTGACAATCTTTAAAGTCATTATTCAATACATTGTTATTGTTAAATAAATATCGTCAAATAATCAAGATCTCAATTTCAGTGAAAATAATCGTGATTATCATTTTTGCCATAATCGAGCAGCCCTACTGCGTACTAGCTAGCATGATGGAGTTTCTATACAGCATGAATGCTGGACACTCAGAGACCTGTGTCTCTGAGTGGGAGACCAGAGATCACATTAACATGTGTATCGCTGTATTAACAAACATGCCATATTGGCCCAGTTAATTTTTCTTATCATTGTTGTGAGGAGACCATAAATAGCATTTGCATTTTCTGTTGTACAGTTCATTTGCTGTTATGGAGTTCTTGTTATGGATAAAAAAGTGTATTTTTTTGTTTCAAAATAGCTGAAAATTATTCGCTGATAGCTGCCAACATCTGCAAAAAAATACAATTCTATAAAGCTGTTCTATGTAGTGCATAACTGTTAATATAGAGTGTTATTAAATTTATTGCAAATGCAGTCATATGGCACACTGACTTCTGAGAAAATTTTAGATGACGTTTATTCAGCTGTGTAAAAACTATCACTTTAATCTCAGCCAAACCGCTTTACTCAGGAACAAATAAAATACTGAAAAAAGCCAAATAATAACATTTCTAAGTTATCTAAGTGACTTATATATCATGTTTAACCTGAGTAGCGAAAGACGGTGGTGGGTTTGAAAACCATTTGCCGGGAGTCCGGTGTTCTCACCGGCTCTAGTGAGCCTTGAACCCCGGCTAGCTGTCGAGCTGGCGGGTAACAGACGTTTTGAAAATATGTGGTGTCTTGATAAACTGAGCACATATTTGAAGTTTACACAGCTACATTCTCGCCTGAAAATATGTTAAACGCTTATTTTGTTACCCAGAAAGAATAATAAGAGTAATATTAAAACTAACTAGCAGCCACCATTGTTGAAAACTGAGCAGGGCCGTGCTATGAATTCTGGGATAGGTTGGGCCACGAAGTATACACCCGACCCATTCAAATCTGGGGAAATGAAGGGCGCATTTGTGGGCCGCATTTGTCGAATTTGGACAGTCTTTGTCGTGTCGCTGTAAATGGTAAATGGTAAATGGTCTGTATTTATATAGCGCTTTACTAGTCCCTAAGGACCCCAAAGCGCTTTACATATCCAGTCATCCACCCATTCACACACACATTCACACACTGGTGATGGCAAGCTACATTGTAGCCACAGCCACCCTGGGGCGCACTGACAGAGGCTGTAACGTAATCGGCCTACAAATGCGGGCACAGGAGGATGTGGTTCCTGAATTTGGACACAGATATGATACCGTGTCACTCCCCGATCCGTACCGGAAACCTGATCGGTACCACGCATGCGCAAATCTTACGTCACTTCCTCTCGTTGCCAACATTGCAACAGTTAATGTATTTGAGTGACACGGTTAGCGCCCAGTTAGCTCATAGCATTTCTCAACAGCTCTGCCTCCTTTTCAACTGCCTGGGACATTTAATGGATAATCTGTATACAAACAAATTCATGCTTTTCTCCTCAACAGAGTGCGTCCCCCGATTGAACAACAGCGCTGTAAAATAAGAAGAATGGCACCTAATTACAGAGTTAATAATACTGACTTAGTAATATGTCACGTTAAGATTCATCAGCCAGATTAAGTGTTTCCTGACAATTGACAGTGATAGCGGACATCATCATCACTATTCCAACGATCCTCTCCACACAGACAAGCATAAACACACTCGACTATCACTAAATCAAATTTAACATGCATTTGTAATGACGCTAGTTCATTTTACAATAGGGCTCATTCGCTCAGTCAGCAGGTGGCGTTATCCTCGTACACTGGGGAGTAAACTGCCATTAAACGAAACAGAAGAAGAAGAATAAATCTGCACATAAGCGGTACGGACCGGGTAGACCCGAATTTCCCAGAGGAACCCACCCGAGGGATTAATAAAGTTCTATCTTATCTTATCTTATCTTAATGGTTGCAGCTATTGTCAAAAGAAAAATAATCCTGGTGCTTAGAAACACAGTGTTTTAACTCACACCCAGGGAACTGCTGTTGTTAATATACTAGTGAGAATTATAACAATTACATTAGACAGATTTTTTCGGTAGCCTTGGACTGTGGCTATGTAGTCTCAGCCTGCCTCGCTAGCACAAGCCCATCTCTGCAGGTCAATGTGAAACAATGCCTTTACCAGCAGTCCCCTGGTAAGTTGTGAAAAGCCACAAAAACAGACTTGGTCCAAGACAGCTGTAATCAGGAGGTGAGAGAACTGTGAGCAGATACAGTTTTTGTAAGGTTTTCATATAAGACCTATTTTTGCACAGTTGGCCAACATTTCTGTAAAAGAAAAAAGAAAAAAGATTCCCTTAGCTGGCAACACAATCAGGGACTATTTCTCACCCGGTTGCATCTCATTGCAACCAGATTGTGTAATCCAAGAGTTTTGCTCAATTTAATAATAATAATTCAACTGGACAAGGCCTGTGATTCCAACCATATGCAGTAAGAGGGTGTTGGAAGGGAGGTTTAATTAGCAGGGTGTGTCAGCTTGTATAAATGCATTGGCTCAGGGGAAAAGGTGAAAAAGCTGCCAGCTCTAGTCTATGTGATGCTACGTGAGCAAGACTCCAGCTACCACTAAAACTACATAAAGCAGTGCGAGGGACTTTTCTTATTCACCTCATCATGCAAGAACAGTGTAAGTTGAGAAGAGATTAAAGTGATAAAATCTTTCCCTATTCTGGCCTCACTGACTCCTCTTACATCTGCGCAAAACATTTCTTTGTGACACATGACACTGTACTGACAGAAAAGAACCACAGACATAAAAAAACAACTAAATCTTTTTTTTTCTTTTAATATTAAATGATTTGGAGTAAAGTTTGGAGAGTGGAAGCAGATGGAGCAGGACTTTTTAACCTAATGAGTAGTTCTAACTTAGGTTTAGCTGTTATGGGCACAACATTTGGTAGAGAAAGCTGGATGTTTATTGGCATCATGTAATGATCTTTGTAGGGGCAATGAGCAAAGTTTATATGCAAACAAAGGCCGATGTGAGATTTTTTTTTTTTTGGTCGTCCCTTCCAGCTATTGACAGATGGCGAGAAAATGCTGTGTTCTAGTTCTTACACTCGAATTACAAAATGCATCATACCTCCTTGTTTTCTCACTGTGGGAAACAAATGAGAAGGCTGCCACAGCGTGCAGCGCTGATGTTCTGTGCCAAGAGCTGTCTGGCCAAAAGCAGAAGATGGTCC